ATCTGTCAATTTAACCCATGGTAGCAACAAGCTTTCCCTTGGCCTTTGAAAGACTGAGGCAGTTTATTTTGAAATAAACAAAATCATGTTTATAAGTGCATTTCTCCATCTGGCTGAAATAAAACATTTGGCTGTGTCAGCTTTTTATGCTCACTTAATTATTGCCAGGATTTCGCAATATTTATTACCAGTTTTCAACAGTAAAATACTGTCATTTTATCATTTTATCATGAAATCAAATTATCTTAAGATATTTTCTGTAATAACACAGAAAATAACTGTGCAGTTGACCTTGCAGAAAGGGATATGACAGCAACAGTGAGTTAAAAAGGTGTATTCTGTGCATATACAGCGCAAAACATGGTGAATAAATTTGCTTATTGATATTGTTTTTTTTTATATAGAAATTTATACTACTTTACTACTACTACTACTACTAATGCTACCTACTTTTTTTACCTACTTGCATTACCTTTACAGTTATGTAAAAATACAGGAGATTCATTAAATCTATTTTAATTACAGCTTTTTACAGTATGTATACAGCAGAATACAGCTCCATCACAGTTGTGCTCCAGGTGACTGTATAAAGTAGCTATTTTACTGTGATTTACGGTTAATGTTACATGAGAAAACTTTTGTTTTTGTTTGTTTTGTGTTTGTTTTGTTTTTTTTTGCTATTGTAATGCCAAGTTATTTGCGACATAAAACCACACAAATGCAAAAAAGAATGTGAAAAAAGTGGACAAAAATAATATACACGTAAAACGTGGAATGTGGACCTTTTTTAAACTACAGTGAATAGAAGAAACCTTGTAAACTGTGAAATGTTATTTGAATGTAAAAGGTTGGCAAAAGCTCAAAGGGAGTTAAAGAGCTGAATGTGTTAGAAAGAGAGAGTGACAAGGGCCCGAGAGGGAGTGATGGAGAGAGACAAGGTGCTAGCCATGGCCGCGTTTCGAACACAGAACATAACCTGCTCTCACCCACGCGAGCCACGCAGCTTTCGCCTTCCCCTCGACTTTTAATTACCTCTGCTGTCACACCAGCCCCCCGAGTGATAAAGAGGTGGCATACACACACACACACACACACACACACACCCTGCTGTAGACAGCGAGGCCTGCGGGTGGCACGGCTTACCGTCAAACGCAGTTGGGCGTTCCGGCGAACAGTTGCTTCGGGCTGCTTCACCCGCCGTACACACACACACCTCTCACACACACACCTCTCACACACTCACGTGCTGAGGAGTGGGCATTCGAGACAAGATGGCATTTTTAATCTGATGGCCTTTGTGCCCAGGCCGGCAGGGGGACAGCAGATGTCCTTCCCCTAAGTAGGTCGCGCTTTGTGCTGGGCGGCCGCGTCTTTAGCCATCTGGCTGCTCCGTGTCACTGTCAGCTGCGTGAAAATATGAATTGCTGCAAGGTGACCTCTGCGATAGAGGCACCTGTGGGCAGGAGAGACCACACACTGCTTCAAACCTCTACCACATAGCCTGTGGAACCTCTATGGAGGCCTTGCAGTGTAGTGTTGTAGATGATACAGGCAGGTCTTACTTTAACCCCTTAATGTCAAATTATAATGCATGTGATATTACAGAGTCAACCATGCTGACTGGGAGGGCCTCTGAGCTACCTCAGGGGTACAGTGTTTGATTAGTGGGGGTGTTGGAAGGGGAAGATAAAACATGGTATTATTGGTTAATATCAGGGCTGCGTGATGGAATTATATTAGTATCAGCAGTTTTATTTTTTAGAAAGTAATTGATGTTGGGTCGATACTTACTTTTGGCCAGTAATGCAAACCAATAATTGATGAAGAGTTTATTGTATTCTGCAACAGCAGTTTAAAGTGATGCTGGGCTACTATGCAAAGAAATTCTGCCTTGGATTCCTTTAAATGCATGTTTAACCTACTACACATAGGTGTTACATTTCTTTGTAATGTTTATCTACGGTACAGTCCCAGTTTCTACATTTTTCAAATGGTTCTGTCCACATCAGCAATAATATTAACAGATACAATGGCTCCAAACAGTATTTTTGCATTTGTAACACATTTAAAAATGCTTTAGGGGACAAAATGTCAAACCAAGTGGTCTTTAGAACAGACCATTCCAAGACCTTTCAAAATGTGGCTTGTGTGTTTCAGATTATTATCATTTAAGACATTTCTGCACAGGTGTCTGGAGGATTGCATCCAAAATGCCTTTGTACACATCATGATCCCATCAGTGAACACAAGCTCACTGACACCATTGTAAGAAAAACAGCCCCACTCATTGTTTACAGTACTCTGCTGTCTGGTTGAAGTTTTTCTCCAGGTCTTCTTCACACAAAAAGCCAACCAAAAGGTTTAACTTAGAAATAAAAATCATTTTGTTGATGCCTTTTATTGAACCTTAAGAAGTTCACTAAAGTTTACCAATTGTTAATGTCCAAATACTTTTGGGGCCACTATGTACATTATAAATGATAGAGCTGTGTATCAGCCCAAAATGTCCATATCAGTGCTTCCCTAGTTAATCTGGTAATCATTTAATACTCATTTATCTGCTGAGCCTTGCTGATGTAGCACAAATCAGAACTTTTTTCAGAGGTGGGTAAAAGTTACATTATATTTTCATGGAAGAAAAAAACAAGCATTTTGTCTTTTAATATGAAACGATTTGATTTGATCTTGCTTAATATGACCAGGCACATGACGTAACAAGATTGTGCTAAGTGTGGGTGGGGGGTATACGCTTTATCAAAGTTGCTAACTTTTGAAAAATATGTTTAGACTTGAGTGGATGAATTCAGAAAATGTAAATATATAAACATCTTTTTGATGTGTTTGGACATATTTATGATTGTCATTTAAAAGAAGGCATGTTTTAGATGCAGTTCATCCAGAAATCTGAGAATGACTGGTGGGACCAAACTTGTCATTTCAGCCTGTGGCATCTGGTCTTAAACACTAAGCCTTCAATATCTCACTCTCATAACTACTAATCTCTAATATAAATGCTTATGATTAACAATTTAATTGTCTTTTTTTGTTGTTCACTGTATGCAACTTTTAAAAGTACAAAGCTAAACTGATTAAATTGCTGGCTATCTTGCTTCATAGCTCTTGATACTCAGTAGCTTCCAACTGATAACAGAATGTGCACTAATCAAACATCACTCACCGCTGCCCTCTGAAGTTGTTATTAACAAACATCAGATAAACCAACATTATGTCCCACTGCCCTCTAAAGGTGTTATTAACCTGTTTTTCACAAGAGCCATAAAACTCAATGGATGCCTGTTTTGGAGGTCCCTCAGTTTTTTAACTATGCATTTATATTCTTTGGTAACATTACTGGAATATAATTTGATGGAAATGTGTGTGATTTACAAATCCAGAGGGGAACTGGGTTTTTGGGTTTGTGTTTAAGCTTTCTTTTTTTATTGTGGCACTTGAGCACAATTTTTTGATATGAAGAAAGCTGCAATTGTGCTGTCTATTTACAGCTTTCTTTGTGGAGAGGTATGAATTTGAGGTGTGACTTCATAGAAGGGGGTTCTTATCCCTCTTCTTTCATCCTCATTGCTCACTAGCAGCTCAACACAGTCACACAGAGAGCCAACAGTGTTTTAGTTCATCTGATAACCGAGTTTTGGGTTTAAGTTTTAGAGAATTTATTTAACTGTATGACTTAAAATGTTCTAATCAATTTCCATTGTGCTGGTGGAATGGAACCTAGAGGGCCTGCAGAAAGAGATGACCAAACATCATATGAACAAATCTTACGCACTGCTTCCCTCTGAAGGTGTGATCAACAAACATCAAATAAATAAACATTACTCACCACTGCCCTCTAAAGGTGCAATTAACAAATTACATTTATGACATTTGGCAGATGCTCTTATCCAGAATGACTTACAATTTGATCACTTTACTTTAGGTGAACATAATGTTAGGAGTTTTTCCCAAGGGCCATTATTGGTATAGTGTAGGGGAGCTTGCTCTGGTGGGGAATCAAACACCAATCTACAGTCTACTATGCCAACCACAACAAATAAACAAACATTACAAACCACTGCCTTTGAAAAATGTTACTAACAAACATCAAATAAACAAACATAATGTACCAATACCATCTAAAGGTATTAACATACATCAACTAAACAAACATAACTCACCGCTGCCTGCTACGTGGTTATCAAACAACTTAATAATTTCTGAAAAGTACATGTTATGATTACTAAAAGAACAAGAAGCCTGGGGTTTATCAGGTTAAAAAAGATTTAAAGATTTAAACAGAGTTAAGCACAGCCTATCTCCGCTGTGCTTTGAATATGAACTGAAACAAACCTAAATGTTTTCTGACTTTAAAGCAGTGAAACCCAAAACCCAGCCGCTGAAGATCTGAGACGTTTTTAAAAGCTTGGGCAGAAACGAACAGTGAATGTGTTTCTCAACGGTTGCCTCTGACACAATTCGTCTTTGGTGCTTTTCTTTAATTACAATGCTCCCAGAAGACTGAGCAGGGTAGTTAACTAGTCAAATAAGCATTAAAGCAATTATTGGGTCAGAATGAATACAATTCCGTCATCTTTAATCATTAGGGGAGTCTATGCCTGGGAGAAAAACATTCTACAGCGCTGAATTAGGAGAGCCAAGAGAGGCAGCAGAGATGAATTGAGACAACTATCATTTCTGTGGAAATTGATTTCTATTGCCCTCTCAGTCTTTTAGCACATCTATGCTGGGCTCAGAGCTCAGGCTCTTCTCTGGTGGCTTAACCCTGGACCGCTGAATCACCCAGACGCCACTGTAAGACACTATTTATCAGCCTGAAACTGTTTCCTTTATGCTGTGGTTAACACTCTTGAGAGGGCTGAGTTAAACACATATGTATAACCTCTTTTGCGTCATGACAGACTATGCTGGGAGAGTTGGATCATAGCCAAAGAGTTGCTGATAGCTAACTACAAGGTCAAATCTTGTTCTGGTTGTTTCTGCAGCTGCAAAGCGAGCTGGACCAGGAATACCAGGACAAGTTCCGACGGCTCCCAGTGGAGATCCAGGAGTTTGTACAGGAAACCGCTAAGGGCAAGCCGAGCAATGAGTGTGAACAGAGCTGCATAAATAGCTTGGCCGCAGAGAAGCTGAACCACAGATCAGCCCAATCAGAGGAGGACCTGGAGGAGGCCTCTTCAGAGAAGGTGTTTGACACGCCGCTCTGAGTTAGACTCCAGCCTTCACATTTTAACTGTAGTTATGCTAACGTATGTACATATGTTTTATAATATCCTTGTTCCTGGTGTTGTCTCTAATTTAACGTGCACCTTTTGTTACATTGTCTGTAGGATTTGTTGCCGATGCATTGTGAAGAGATTACGTACTTGAACAGTGGTGAGAATAATGATGGTTTCTCTATGACATTGTTATAACAGCTCTATAAAGCTTTTATAGAGCTCACTTTAAACAAGTTTGAATATGCTGCTTCTGTTTAGATGACCACTAGAGATGATTGTTTATATTATCATTGTTTAACAGCAGATTTAGCCTGGGCAAGAGAAGCTATAAAAGTCATTTGAAAGTAGGCCTATATAAATAGCTGTATATTTAAGCAGTAGGGACTTTCCATGAACTGGCATTGAAGTCTTTGTCCTGTTCACACATGGCTTACATCACTTTCAGATATAGGAGTGTCCTTTTTAGATTAGATTTGTGTTTTGTTTTAAAATGTGTGTAATGTTTTATAGATTCTTTGTTGGTTTTCATTTTTTATATTTGGCTAAATGGAACTAAATGTACACTTAGCAGTAATGTAACCCAAGAAAAGGGGAGTCATGCAACTGCATGTTTTTGTACACTTGTAAATGTTACTTACATAGCACAGAGGGAGAAAAATGACCATATGCATTCTCATAAATGTAAATATTATGTTATTATGTCAAAGAAAGAACAGAAAGACCTTTATTATTTGAATATCATGATAGTAGAATGGTTCTTAGCAATGGCACAGTTTAGTTTTAGCAGAACATTAATTCCAAGGTTACAAATCTAGCCTTGCCAATGTTTCGATGTTGGCCTGGAACAGTCTGGATTGGCAGTTTTTATGAGAGTAGAGGAGCACTGTGCTAGAGAGCAGAGCTTGCAGCCACTTTCAGACTCACAAACACTTTCACTGGCTGACCTGTGACCAAATAATAATAATAAATGTAATAATCAAGAAAAATATTTATCAAATAATAAATGAAGAGTTTCATCCCAAAATGCTGTATATCCATGTGTAACAATGGATATAACAAGTTTTGAAAAGAGTAACAACTGACAAATAATGGAAAACACATTTTTGTTTCACTAATAAAGGTGGTATTAATCATAATAAAGCATTGATATTTCTAGTATTTGTAAAGCCCATCCTAAACAATGTATATAATGAAAAAAGTGAAAAAAGAAAGTTCTTGAATGTGGTCTGTAATGCATTTTGGAACAAAACTCTTCAGTTATTTATAAAGAATACAAAGGTTCAGATATTATCTGTAACCAAAGACAGATTGCTAGAAGATATTTTCGGTTCAGAAATAAAATAACTGCCCCTTTGTGATAAGGTAGTGTGCCAAGCAAAAAAAACAAACAAAAAAAAAACAAAAAAACAAAAGATAAACACCTGTAGAGTGCATGTGTGTGTCTGTGTGCGTCTGCAAAGATTTATCAATCTTTTGTCAAGCCTCATAGTTGCAGAATTGCAGTTCTTCTACAGTGGAGTGTCTTACAAAGCACTGTTGTCAAAACCACTTACCTTTTTAAGCTGTAATATAATCACTGTTTTAATGTCATAGAAATGAAGGCTGTGTATATCCTACAAAAGACAAATTATGCCAATATCTGATTTACTGTTCTCTCTTGTCACGAGAAGGAGCTGAGTTTACCGGTGAGAACCCCTCACAAAGACACCATGTTCACCATGTTACAAAAATGCAACAGTGGCTTTCACAGGTGGTAATACTTTTCATATTAGCAGTGGATCAGTGGCAGTTATCGCAGTGATGGTTTTTATTATGAATGGCAGTTACATATCAATAAAAGCTTATACAAAATCTTTTTGCTCAGGACATGCAATCTGTGATGGATTTGGTATACGACTCTACCCTAAGTAACCTACCACATAGCACAGAGTGGGAGTCATAGCACAGAGTGGGAGTAAATGAATATTCTAATGTTTTTCCCAAAACTTGTTTTCTTCAGTTTTCTAAATTTGCCTTTTTGCAGAAAGATACAAATTGACCTCCCATAGTCTTCTGCAGGGCATATCGCTTTTAGAAAGCAAAAATAGTAGATTAATTAGAAACTTTAGAATACTCTCAACATACTATTAATGCAACAACACATTATTCTCCAGCAGTTATGCTATTTCTTCCATCGTATGATTCTGATCCATCTTATAAGAATAGGAAGAACAGGATGCATATAAGCAAACGTGCCTGTGACTATTTTGTTGCTGCGCTTGCTTGAATGTCATGGATAGTGATGCATTTCTGTACGTTTTATATGTAGCTTTCTGCGCAGGTGAGAAACGCAGGTAACTGAAACCTATAGTTTATAGCCAGAATGCTGTCAAACTACTAGATAAAAACTATTTCATGCTCAATTCCTTTGTGTGAAAAAGACAAAATATTCAGTTATAATGCATTAACTTTTAAATCTGAAATTGGATGCGGTTCTATGAGCTGTGAAAACTTTTGAGAGGTCAGTTTTGTTTGTATTTCAAAAAACTTTGCTTTAAAGTTCTCTGTAATGGATGATGAAGTCTTTTGGATGTTTTTGAACACTCAGACTGGATATTTTAAAAAAAAGGTTTTCACTGTAGATTCCAGAAGTACATGATATTTTAAGTCACTTTATTGATTTAAAATACTAACAAAAGAACTCAAATCCATTCTTTACCACTAAGAACCAATGTTGCATTTTTTAAGGTTTCTACAAACCTCAACATTCAACATTCATAAAAAACTCAGACCAGTACTGTTGCTGGACAGTCAACCATTCAAATATTATAGCAGACAGCTGTTTGCCATGACATTGGCCCAATGGAAGTCCAGATCATTTGCTCAGACTGCTATCCAACAGTTACAGGCTTTTGTGCCATGAATTCAGTTTGTAAAGTTTAATAAACTTGAAATAGGATGTAACTTACATACAAACTGATTTGTAGTTTTTCAGAGATTATTGCCATTCTGTGAGTCCTGTGCCTTTCAATATGTTTGCCTTGTGGTATGTGAGTGAAATGCATCACTGTGTAAAACTGTCATTGTAATATAAGGAGTATGTTTAGTTGTATGTCTGTATGTATTTTCTTGAATAGATGGTGTGCACTTTTAGTAAAATAACACTACTGAGTAAAGTTTGTGAGTAGCAGTATTTCAGAAAAATGTTTTCTATATTCTGTAGTGGACAATTTTCCCTGTGCTTCTTGTTTCAGTGTAAGGGTACTGGATATATGCATTCTTAAGAGAAAGTCAAAGAATATGTGAGCAGAAAAAAATACTATATTGAAAAATGGACCAAGAGGAAAGGGAAAAATGCTTGTGAATAAAATAAATGTTGATTCCACACTTAGGTTGTGTGATTTTTGGCACTGTACTTAAAAATGGGATATAATATTGACAGTAAGTACAGCTAAAGACAGATGATTTCACGTTTGGTGCTTTTTTCTATTTTTCAATCACTAATTAGGTCCTTTTTCACTTTACCACACAGTTTAATATTGAAGACAACTAGAGTATCTCCGAAGGACCTTGTTTGCTCAGATCGTTTTGAAAGTTTTGCTTGGCTGGACAGTCCTGTGGGCTGTAAATCTGAAGATGAGATGGGCCAGAGCTAATGCCTTTGTTTGGGAATCAGATATATATACCAAGTTTTAATAAGAAAGTGCTGGAGCCCTACCAACTGACCTTGATAGGTTAGTGAAGCTAGAGGAGGACTTCCCATTAGCAGTAAATAACACAGCCATATTTCACTTTGCTCTGTCAGCTTTAAAGTGAGAAAAGCTTATCTGGTGTGTGTGTGTGTGGCCTGTAAACACATCCTCCACGGCTCATTGCTTTTAATCTCAAGTATTATTTAACTTTGTTTGGAATATTTACATCTCCAAGAGGAAGAGGTAATTTTCCGAAGTCATTTCAGTGGCTTGGTTTAATGATTCTACTCATACGCTGTATAATGAATGTTCAGTGGCCACCTTATTAGGAACACCTGTCAACCTACTCTGCCATGTGGCAGCTCAATGCAAATAATTATGCAAACATGAGTTGATAGCTTTATGTAATGTATATCTCAACATCAGAATAGGGGGGCAAACATCATCATAATGACTCTGACCATGGCATAATTGTTGGTGCCAGTGGTTTGAGTATTTCAGAAACTGCTGATCATCTGGGATTGTGCACAACAGTCTCTGGAGTTCACACAGAATGGTGCGGGAAAATAGTGAGCAGCAGTTCTGTAGGTGGAAATGTCTTCTTGATGAGAGAGGTCAAAGGAGAATGAACAGATTTTTTCAAGCTTCCAGGAAGTCTACAGAAACTCAAATAAACACTTTACAACAGCGATGATCAGAAAAGTCTCTGTATGCACAACACGTCAAAACATGAGGTGGATGGGCTACAACAGCAGAAGACCATGCCAGGGCTCCACTCCTGTCAGCCCGGAATCTGAGTCTACAGTGGGCACAGATTCACCAAAACTAGACAGTTGAAGATTCGAAATATGTCACCTGGTCTGATGAATCTCTATGTCTGTTCAACATGCAGATCTCAGTGTTTAAATGTGGAGTAAACAGCATAAATTCATGGACCCAACTTTTCTTTCTGGCAACAGTTCAAGCTGGTGGTTGCAGCATTGTAGTGATGTGGGGAATGTTTTCTCAGCACACGTTGGACTCCCAGTACCAACTAAGCATTGTTTGAATGACACAGCCTATCTGAGTACTGTTGCTAACAATAGCTATTTCTTTATGGCCATAATTTAGCCATTTTTAATGTGGGGGTGTTCAGTCTCATTTGCACAGGGCTGGTGTGGCTGCAGGTTTTCATTCCAAACAAGCAGGAGAACACATGATTCTACTCATTAAAGCAGTTGGTCTCAAGTCTTTAAACAACTGATCATGTTGGATTTGTTGGAATGAAAACCTTGTGGATAAGATTGGACAGCCCATTTCTAATGGCTACTTCCAGCATGTTAATGAGGCCCGTCACAAAGCATAAACACAAGTCATCTCAAAGTGGTTCCATGAACATGACAATGAGTTCAGTGTACGTCAAGGCCTCCCCAGTCATTAGATTCGAATCCAGTACAGCACCTTTGGGAGCAGGAGATTCACAGCATGAATGTGCAGCTGACGAACATGCAGCAATTATGTAATGTAATCATGACTCATGTCAACTGATAAAGTGGCCAGTGAATGTATGTAACGTTAGAACATAATACAAATAATCATATATTATCAAATATAACAAGTCACTGTTGCCGCTTTTTATTTGTTTTATAATTATTAATGATTGTAAGGTGTTTATGACCTAATTTATAACTATATATAAACTAATTGTGACCATTCATAAACCCTTAATAAGGGAATGCTTATTATAAAAGCACACTGCAGTTTAGAAATTGTTAAACTAACACACTGACACAAATCAAATTGCATTGTGATTATTTGTATGTATTCTAATGTTTGTGTTTTTTTTAGCAAATAAGTACTGCTCAGATAAACAGCTTTACAAACAGTCCAACTCCTCCCAAAGGTATGGGTGCATGTGTGAGATTGAATGTCCGGGTCAGCAATGGGTGCACCTTACATATAATGGCCAAGAACTTTTATCCCAGCAATTAGAAACATGTCAGGGGCTGCACTGAGGCTTTTATGTAATATGTAATTATCACATCCTGAACTCCTAATCCAAGAACCTGACACTGCTGATTTAGGAGCAGGCTGACAAAGAGAGCAAGAAAGATAAAAAATGATGGCTGGAAAGCGGAGCAACAATCTAGATCACCCAATATGGGGAGATAGAGCAAATGGATGTGGAGAGAGACAGTGCACATGAAAGAGAATTATTCAAAGCAAAGGCGCTGTGATCGCTGTACAGCTGTAGCCCTTTGCTCTGGTATCTATCAAAGCAGGAACCACATGTGCTCATCCACTAGGTGGGAATTTTCTATAGCCTACTTCCTGTCATCTCCGTGGCAACCCTTGCCCCTGTCTGTTTTTATGTAAGAATAATCAGGATGCTTTCGACAGGACATTACATATGGTTAATCCAGTATCGCAAATTATGACCTATGATTTCTTGGAAAATGACTGTGAAGACGCTACAATTCTGTTTAGGGTGTAGCGTAGGGAGAGATTTAAAGAGCCCATATCAATTATTTTTCAGATAAAAAGAATTTTGTAATATTTAAACATTATTAAAGTTTTAAAAAAGACCTTTTACTTCCCAGCCCATACAGTTCCTAGACAACCAAGCTCCAAAAACAGCTTATTTTGAATTCATCCACACATTTACTTTAGTGACATCACAGTTAATGTGAATTTGTATGTGTTAACACAATAAATTATTAACGGCACTCATTTTTAAATACCATCAACACATTTTACTAGTTTGATCCTTAGAACCATTCAAATACAACTTTTCAATGGAAAGTTAAATTGATGCCTTTTTTGATAAAAACCAACACTTTTCTTCTAGCTACTGCCGTGCTGTGAATTCATCACCAAAAGACTAAAGTATTATTTACAAGTAAAGGACACTACTGATGCTGGCAATTTCAGTCATTCAACGCTGGGCAGTGCTTGCAGGAGAATCATTGATAAACCAACAAGCAGAAAACTAACAAAAGCAACAGCAAAGTGAAAAGCTCCCTCAAAACAAGATGTAACATAGTGATATGAGTGAGAGGCAACGTTCACAGAGGAGTAGGAGTCAGTGACGAAAACTGGAAACTGCCTTCACACTGTGGAAGTCACATGATTTACATGTTCAGTTCATGTCAACCCTGCATTCACATGATGAAAATACACACACACACACACACAGCTGGAGCCTATCCCAGTGGTCATTGAGCAGAAGGCAGGATACACCCTGGACAGGTCGCCAGTCTATCGCAAGGCATGATGAAAATAATGTTGTTGAATTATTAAAAGTAGTAAATTCATTCTGATGAACCTTTCGTCAATCATACAGCTGTTTGATGCATTGTATAGCTCACATAGCTGAAACAAAATTTAAGTAAATTAAATTTAGCAGTTCGTTGTGATTACTCTGTAAAAGAAAGCAATTAATCACAGTTAACTATTTCAATCATTTGACAGCCCTAATTTATATATGACCATTCATTCCACCTAAGTGATAAGGAGTGTTGTTACTGCAGACAATCTGTAGCTGATTCATTGTAATGGAAGATGCGATGGAAAATGATTAAAGCATGTTCTGTTCATGGCTGTTGGGGAGTAAATGTATGATTGCAGCCTTAAAAAGTGTCCAGACTTTTGAAAAAAGTGACTAAAGTTTGTTTTCTCTGAAGTCCCCCTCAGTATTCTAGTGTAAATTTTACACTTTGTTCCATACAGCCACAGAAAGGGTGCACTTATTTTATTTATAAAGAGGTCAGCCAATCAGACCTGAGGTCATTTACATATCAAAGTCAAACTTTGAGATACCTGGTTACTTTAGCGGTTAAATAGGTGAACTACAGCAACATAAACAACTTTTTTTATTCTTTGGATCCGCCTCCCATTTCCGCATCCAACGTGAAGCATGCCTGTAGAATCAACGACGCCCAGCGGAGTTCATTTAGAGTTTGCTAGCATTACCAGGCATGGTCATGACTTCGCTCAAGGTAGGCTCTTTATTAAGGGTATTGCCCTACTGTGTCCGTTAGATATAGATAGCATGGAACTGGAGCCCTTTTCATGGCTAAAACAGAAAATGTCTTTGAATGTCTAAAAATCTCAGGATGGTTGTGGTTGCTTTTTAGAATCTAGCTAAAAGATAAAAGCATCAACAGAGGGCTACAATACACCTTTTCCCCCAACAAAGTGTTAATTTATTCTGTCTGCTAAATTATGATGTTATACTATTACATTTCACTCGTTCAAAAAGACTTTTCGTCTCATCATGCTATCTAAGTAATCCTCAAATACTTCTTCGTATAGCAGTGGCATTTGGCCAGAGTGAGCATCAAACTCCAGTGTGTCTTTTGTCCAGAGGGATCATGACATTACAAGCATATAAACGCTCAGCATTCATTTCATACCAATTTGCTGCTTGGAAATAATCACAAATGTCTCTGTTGTCCTGTTTTTCTTTGTAATGAGTTGTAAAGTGGTAAATATCACCCCTACACCAGCATTTAAGGTGGAACGAAAAGTTTGACTAAGAAGCCAACCTAAAGCATTACTTTACCATTCTCTCTGAGTGACAGATTTATCTAACTTGATTCTTTATGTAGATTTAGCCATAAAACAGTTCAACATTTTATATTTATATTATTGCCTTTACATACCTGCCTAGAATTGTGTCCAACTTCAATCTTTTCATGTCTCTGAAAAGCGCTCCCAGTGTTTTTCCTTGTTGTTAATTTTTTTGGCAGCACAGTGTGTTTTTCCCCCCATGGTACT